GGTATATTCTCTTTTGTTGGACAAGGTCATTATTTGGAATGTCACTTGCCACTTATAAGCTCAAGCCTGAATGTTGTCCAGGTCTTCTTGAATTTGGACATGGGCTGCTTCAGTACCTGAGGTGAATGATGCTGAACATCGTGAAATTATTAGCGAATTAACCCACTTTGGACCTTATGATGGAAGGAAGTATTTTGATGAAACAGACAGTTAAGCTCAGACTCTACAATAAGGAAATTCTGCAGTGATGTCCTGGGAATGCTCTCCAACAACAACAATTTTTTTTTCTGTGCAAGGTATGACTTCAAGTAGAAGAAAGCATTGACTCTGATTCCCATTGAATCTAGTCTTGCTAGGACTCTATGATGCCATATTTGCTCAAATCATGCCTTGATATCTCATGTCACTTTCAACTCACATCTGAAGTTCATCTTCTTTGCCCATGTTTGGACCAAAGTTCTAATGTGGCCAGGAGTTGATTGGCCCTGGCAGAATTTCAACTGGACATTATTGTGCACTTTCTTACTGATCAAGTGCCAACTGATAGTTCTGTTGACAACACCTTTCATCAAAGCTCTGTTAATCAAGAGTCAATTGATGGGGTAGTAACTGACTGGGCAGGGTGAATTTACCCTGCTTTTCGTGTACAGGACAGACTTGGGAAATTTTCCACCCTGCTGCATAATTTCCAGTGTTGTAGCTTTACTGGAAGAGTTTGGCTAGGGCATAGCTAATTCTGCAGCACAAGTGTACAATACTGTTATGCGAATATTGTCAAAGCTCATAGCCTTTGCAATATAGAATGTCTTCAGCCATTTCTTGATATTATGTGGAGTGAATTGAATTGACTGAAGAATGATACCTGTGATTTTGAACTCAGGACGAGGCCAAGATGGATTATCCATTCGGCAGTTCTGGCTGAGGATGACTGTGAATGCCTCAGCAGTTTCTTCCGTACTGATGTTTTGGGCTCCCTCATCACCGAGGCTGAGGATCTCTGTGAACCTGCCTTCTCCTGTTATTTGTTTGTTCATCTACCACCATTCACGGTAGGACTGCAGAACTTAGATCTAATTTGTTTGTTATGGGATTGATTTGCCCCATTAATTGCATGCTGCTTCTGCTGTTTGGCACACAAGTAGTCCTGTGTTGCAGCTTCATCAGGTTAGCACCTCACTTTTAGGTATGACTGGTGCTGCTCCTGGAAATCCCTCTTGTTATGTTCATGGAAATTGCATTTATTCCAGAAAAGTCTGCTAAGAATGTATCTGAGTTTTGTTTTCACATATATTTTACTGCATATTTATTGACTTAATTTTTCATTTAATTGGATGAAAATCAAAATTTTTTATCACTAATTCAGTTTGCTTGAATGAAGCAAAGAGAACAACACCTGCTGTAATATTTACATTGGTGTACAGCCAAACCATTTGTAGTGTAAGTTAAAGTAAAACTCAGTACTACATCAAGGGGAAAAACTGACTGTCAGTTGTTTAATTGCCCTTTATGTACCCTCTACCTTCTCCACCCCATTTTCCTTTGAATTTAATTCAAAACTCTCTGCATTCTTTTTTTCATTTCCAAAAGTTGGTAGTCATTTGAATATTGATACTTTTTGAACTTTTGATCCACTTCAGGTAGCAATAAGAAGACATTTAAAGGAGCATTGCTCATTGCTAAATCAAATTCATATATTTTCATTCACAAAAAAAAGCAAATTAATGAAAATGAGGATAAGAAAATCTACTTTAGGATCAGGTTTTGAGGTAATACTAGTAACAACTTCTGGCGTCAACATGCGTGCAGTTAAACAGGGAAGTTGCTATGAGCAATTCTATGCTTCTAACAAGAATGCACTGTTGGGGTGCCACTCAGGATGCAGTCAATTTGGAATCAATGAACTGATGAGAATTTCTACTCACATATTTTTAACTTCAAAGTATCACAAAAACATTTTGAGAGACATAGAGGTATATCCGAGTGATCAGACAGAAGAATTGTAGGGTTGGGATGCCAATGATTGCTTGACCACAGTTTGTTTATGGAAAGCCATTATCTTTATACGCCTGGTTTGCACACATTGCACAATTGATCCAATAGCTGCAATCAGCCTTTTATTTGCCAAAGTGGTTGTAATACAACTTGTATAATGGCCTAGCACTGTAGAACGAGTGCATCCTGTTATGAACCAACCAAATCTCCTCAAAACATACCAAAGAGATAGTTTAGACCCTAACTTCTATCTTATTTCAAGGCAAGCATAAGGCATTGCATTCCAGGTGTGATTCGATGGTCAAACTACCAGGTATTAAGCAAAACCCACTTTATTCTTACACCACAGTTAAATTACAAACAAATAAAGAAGAATTGGCATAACGTTAACTCTATTGAAATACTTAACAAAATAATATCTTCTTTCACAAATACTCATCAACTGTTCCAATATAGCAGCATCCCATTTACACACCCTTGGCAAAGGCAAATTCAGCAAAACAGATTTCTTTCACTTGCTATCTCCTTCAGTCCAGGAGAAGGAACACTAATAGACTGAATCTAGCAGCACAGAGAGAACTCTGCTTTTGTAGCAGCAGAGAGACAGCTGTTTCTAGCAGCTTCAACTCCAAAAAATCTTAACTTCAACAACTGAAAGCAGAACTTAAATCCTGGGTCAATCATGCTTATGTCTAATTTTTTTTAAAAATCCAAACCTATTTACTCTGTCTTCCATGGAGCAAACACCTTGACACCAGACTTACAACACCTCTCAACAAGAGAAACAAGACAGAACAATCCCTCTTAGAAGCACACCTCATCACAATTCTAACTATTGCCAAGAGACTGGGCATTGATGCACGTCGTGTGTTGTCTATAGTCTCATATTAGTTGCGCTCTGAAAGAATGGAATAATTTTGCTATCAGGTGCATGACAGAGAGCTGGCATAAGGCACCAGAAAAACAATCAACCTGAAGCCTTGCAACATGGATGAAGCTTGCAATACTAAAAAGGGAAAACAAGGTGTACAGCTGGATGAACACAGCAGGCTAAGCAGCATCAGAGGAGCAGGAAGGCTGACGTTTCGGGCCTAGACCCTTCTTCAGAAATTTCAGACATTATTTAGCCAGATGGGTTTTTCCAACAATTGGTATTATTCAGTAGATTCTTAGTTCCAAATTTGTTTTTAAATTAAATTCAACTTCTACCACCTGCTCTGATGGAATTCAAACCTGGGTCAATCCCCAGAACATTAGGTGAGTTTCTGGATTAAAAAGCTACCGATAATACCACTAGGCCATCGCTTCCCCTCAGTGTGTTTCCTTTTGTAGAAGTCCACTGCAAAGAAAGGCATCTCCAGCACTTGTCTGAATGGAATCAAATGAATCAAAAACTCCTAGTCACAGCCAGTTTGAAAGCAGGGGGGAATACTGTCCTTGCTGGCTTCTGAGTGGCAGCATGAGCTGGCAGATTTCAGTGAAGACCTTTTCTGGGAAAGATTGATCATGGCTGAAGTTTAGGTGGGAGAACAGCTTCCTAAACACATTTTATAGATTCAGCCTCCTGCAAAGATGCCTTCTATCCCTCCTCCCCCTTGCTATAGCATTTCCTGCTTTGTCTTGCCTTACTTGACTCTTCCATTTATGCTCAATTCCAAAGGAAGACTTATGAACCCATCCAGATTCAAAGCAACTTGTTTGTGCAAGCTTACTCATGTAAGAAAAATAACATCGGCACTTGCTATCGCAATTTTTGTATATGAGTGAAATTTTAATCAACTTTAGAATACAACTCACAGAAATATAGCAATATCCAATTGAAATAAACTAGCAACTAACCCATAGGAAGCTGACAAACACTTTATATAACAAGGTGTTGTTTTCTTCAAATTTTTTAATACTTCTGGTCAAAATTTGCAAGGTTACCGGAGGATATAGGCTGGAGCATGGAGGTCCATTAATAGGAGATTGAGCTCAGATGACTTCACAATACGCCTACTCTGTATGCCTGCTACAGATAGTCAGGGATTGCTAGCTGTTCAATGGCTAGAGGCGAGTCTTCAGCCTCTATGGTGAATAAGTCCCATCTCAGAGAGTTGGTGCTCGCCCTCTAGTTCCCAGATTTATCATCCTGAGGGAAAAAGAGGGCAGGAAGCCTGAAAGAAGGGAAAAATGGAGAGGGCTGGTGGTAGTGGTGGAGAGGATGAAGGAAAATAAGAGGATGGAGAAACCTCAGTGAGGAGCCCTCCAACATGTACAGGGGCCTATAAAAGTGCACTGTCCCACCACCCACCACTCCTTGTTGTTCAGTAAAAGCTACTGGGCTGAATAAGTAGTGGTGTATTGCTGCCATGGGTATCATGCCAGTGATGGTGGAAATTGACCCTTACGTGACCATTAATAAAGCATGAGTCTCTCAATTGGTCCATGATGGGCAAGTTGCCTGAAAACTCCAATGTTGGCTGTTACATTGCAGAGAGTATAGGTGTAGGGTGGGCAATTGGCATCAGGAACAGCATGGGCTACCCAATTCTGCAGCCCCATCCTTCCACAAACTGCCTTAGACTTGTATGCCTTTATCCCTTTACCAAGATGACAACTGACATACTCTGTCTCAGAAAGATATCTGTGAATCGAAAGGATCATTTGGTGCTCTAAAATAAGGTTCTCGCCCAATTCCATAACCCCTTCCCCCATTACTTTCCATAAAGACCTACCAGTTCCATTAATTAGCTGCATAAGATATCATCAAACATTGTTCACAATTAAAATTAACCTTTTTGATACTGACTTTATGACACATGAAAGACTCTTTAGCAATTTGTATCTGTATGATCAATAACAGACTCCTATTCATCACTACTTCGATAACCGTGTTGATTCATCCTGAATTAAATTGAATGCAGTTTATACACCAGCTGGCAATTTTAACATAGTACACACATACCATTTTATAGAAATTAAACCACCTGCAGTAACCTGTTTAGAATATAAGTAAATAAACTCACCCCATGGCTGGATCAAGGGCAATTCCTTTGGGATTGTGTAGCTCCAGATCTAGTAGTGTAATACAAGTATCACCATTTTGATTGCACACAAATATTCGGTCACTGACATCATCCACAAAGTAATAGTTTCCAGTAAGCCAGTCTATAGCCATTTGTTCCACATCTGCCAAAGCAAAAGTAACACATTAGATCAAAAATGCAGGACAATTTATTGGCGAGTCGACTGCTGTGCAAGGAAAAAATATACCCTTTCATGCTTGCAAATTTATTTTAGTATCTTGGTCAGATCTTCAGGTAATTTGTGCTCAAGAATTTCTTATATAACTATGTAATCCTCTCCATCAGAAATATACTACTTTGATCTTTGATCATTTTTCAATGTCTGGTATTCAAGTGGAGAAAAAAAGTAGGTTCAAACAGTAATAAAAGTTCTTAAAGAATCCAGCATGCTTTTCCACAGAGAAACAATGTTCTATAATGTTTTTTTTGTTTAACTCAGAATGTTAATCAAGTCTGTTTTATAAAGACATAAGGACTTTCTCGGACTTACCAATTCATTAACCTTCAAGTTTCTTCAAATAAAGCAAGACTCACTAAAATAAGTGAAGTCACAATGCCTCTTTATTATAATTAGCCTTCCTTTCTTCTGCCTGATTTTTTTCTACCAAGCAGGTTGTGAAATTTTTTTTTCATTTTTTACTCTATGAAATGTTTTCAGCTATCAAAATGACAAGTCTATCAACTTTCTTGCATTTGACAAGAGACTTAAATGAAAGATCATTATCTGACCATCCGCTTAGGATTTCAATTTACAATGCAAGTGCTGTGTTTCTAACTCCCAGAATTATTTTTCCTTTTTTGCCTTCTCTTGTTAGAGAGTGAGAAGAACCAAGAGATTACTGCAGAAGCAAAGCGATTTATTGTGATACAGAAAGACCTGTGTTGAATCAATAAGCTATGTCATGGACTTTCTCCACTCTTAAATGTTGGAATCATCTGACTGCAACAACTACTCTCCAAGGAGAGAAAGTACACAAAGTAACTCGCAAACTACCCAAGCCATTGAAAATAGAACAATATAAATGTTAGAACAATATAAATATAAGAACAAAAAGCGAAGTCAGAAAGAAAATCAGCATACATGATAAGAAAAGTGAGAGCATCGTCACAGTTGAATATGTGAATGTCACATAAAAGAAGTAATGCATAATTTTCATAATATTTGTAGACTTGGTGTGAGCAGACCTTAGATATGCAACTGGTGACTAAAAATGAAATATCTGACAATTTCCCAACCTTAGTACTCTTTTTAAACATCACCGATCATTTACAAATTTTCACGAGTGATGGTTGCAACATGTGATTCACCCACACTTTTGTTTCTGGTACAAGTTTATGACAGTTTTGTGCTGTCTGCTGTTTTGCATGATTGCTGAATGTCACAGTGTTGAGACACTGTTCATCTCTGCAGAGGAGGCTAAATTTATCCAAGGCTAGCAGCACATAGAGCTTGCCTGCGCTTCTTGGAAGGGAGATACATTGTAGCAGTACTGGCTTCTTGAACTGTTTACAGAAGAAATTCTGAAAAGGATTCAGCATAAACTATGATGCAACAGGAGGATGAGGATGCTCCAAGGTTCTCTGATGATGCATTGGAAGAAATGGAGAAGAACAGGGATCTAATTTATTCATAGGGATCAGGAGTGTTAATAGACAAACTTTGAAATGATAAAGTGAGCATACTGACATGGCTATCATTGGTAGAAACCTAGAGCCAATGACCTGAATGCAATGATGTAAAAAATTCATGACCTCACATATGTGCAAAGTCAATGAAAGCATTTTCAAGAAATTTCAAACATCATTGGCTGAAAGGAGCTCAATGCAGAAAGGTTCTTGGCCTCAGTAACCTTCGTAATAATTGATCATATCACTGTTGTTCTCCTTTGAAGTTACAAGTGTGGCAGAAATGAGTAGAGGGTTTCAGTAAATCTACCCATATGGAAATACGGATGCTTGACATGCTATTTCCTGCTAAGATCAAGGTAGCAGAATTGCTTTCTGAATGTCTTTGGTTCATATGGATTCTTGCTCAGAGCCATCCTCCACTTTCCTCTTTCAACAGCTTGTCCTACTCTGCGTATTCTCTCAGTCATGTTGTATTCCAAGTTAAGTGCAGGTGACCGCACCCGAATGATGTAATGTGCTCTGCACAGAATCCCTGCAGGTCAAAGACTTTGCATGAACAATGAACTGCCTGGATATGTTATTAATTTTACAGAACACTGGTAAACAATCACTTCCACAATTACAACAACAGGAAAAAGAGAATCAATCAGGAACAAGGGTACAAGAAGTTGGTGATCTCTCTAAATAGTGCTGACTAAGTATCCTCTCTGATATTGAACATCCTTTCAGCTAAAATGCTGAGATCCAAAATGGTAATGTTGGTGCCAATTCAATGTTAAATTCTGATTGACATCACGACCTGTATGTTCTACCTATTTCCATTGGATGGTCATTGTAAGCCCATTCACATCCTCATTAAAATATCATCTTGGACGCTCGTGTCAGAAGTGTGCTTGTGATGTACTTCATATATCCTATTTTGGAGCCGGAATGCCATTTGTAGCATGAAAATACTGTATACTAATGTGTCAAGTTGTGCTTCCTTAGTTTTATGAGGGTGTTTAATCCAGGAAGAGTCTAAGATGATAATTGAATGAACTTTTATTAAAAAAGCTTTCTCAGCATGAAGGGATTTTAAGTCCCTTGTCAGAGGAACAATATTTCTCAGTTCAAATGACATAGATTTGATGCATGGGATTAGACTTTTGAGTCCTTTTCAGGACAGATTCAAGCATTGTCAACCTTACAACAATTTCATTGTGACAGAGAAGGTCATTTTCTTCTTGTTTGCTTCAAATATAGGTTATTTGACAAAGATTTCTTTTAACTTCCAGTACTCTGTTTACAGTCTCAAAAAGCAATCAGAAATACAAATATGAAACAATTTTGCTATTCAGGTGATTTCAGCAAAGGCAGTGACATATAGAATTGCTCGTCAAAACTTCTTAAACTCACACAGTGCCAAAGCTCTGTGAGTTCACAGAAGTTGTTGGAAAAATTGGGCAGAAATAAAACTTTGTTATTAAAAGGGATTGTCCAGGCACATTGGAACCTAGCCTCAAATTACTTTCTTGTTTTCCATGTACTCCTGCTGCCTCAACAATAAAGAAAAAAATAGTTGACAACAACCTGGCCATAACACAAGGCTAGAATTCTTGTTACACAAAAGAATCATCCCTCTGGATCAAAAATTTAAAATGGCAGCTTTATGTCTGCATACTATTTAAAATCACTGAAGAAGATATCTAGCAAACAGTGATTTGCTATCTTTAAAAACAAACTTGATAACGTAGTACATTTGGAAAACTGGGAACAAAATGGGTAGTGCTGGAAGGTTGCTTTTTGGACTGGAGGTCTATGACCAGTGGTCACTGCTTTTTGACATTTATATAAATGTTCTGGATGTGAATATAGGAGGAATGGTTAGTAAGTTTACAGATGACACCAAAACTGGTGACGTAGAGGACAGTGAATAAGGTTACTTTAGAGTAGAATGGAACCTTGATCAGATGGGCGATGGGCTGAGGAGTAGCAGATGGAGCTTAATTTAAATAAATGTGAATTGTTACATTTTGGTAGGGCAAATCAGAGCAGGACATATATACTTAATGGGAAGGTCCTGGGGAGTGTTTCCAATCGAAGAGGCCTAGGGGTGCAGGTTCATAGTTCCTTGGAAGTGGAGTCACAGGTAGACAGAGTAGTGAAGAAGGTATTTGGTATGCTTGCCTTTTTTATTCACTGCATTGAATACAAGAGTTGATAGGTTATATTGCGACTGCATAGGACATTGCTTAGGCCATTTTTGGAATACTGCATTCAATTCTGGTATCCCTGCTTTAGGAAATATGTTGTGAAAGGGTTCAGAAAAGATTTACAGGGATGTTGCTAGGGTTGGAGGGTTTGAGTTATAGAGAAAGGCTGAAAAGGCTGGTGTTATTGTCCCTGGAGCGTCATTATGAGGGGTAACCTTATAAAAGTTCATAAAATCATGAAGAGCATGGATAGGGTGAATAGTCAAGGTCTATGGAATAGGATGCAGACAGATCTACAGTTTATAGTGGACAGAGGCTGAAGCAGTAGAGGATGAAAGTAATCGAGTCTGAAGGAGATAAATTTGTGAATGTGACTTTCAATAGTAACTGCAATGAATAGAAATTCAGTCTGGTACAAATAACAACATTTAATAGGCATCTGGATGTGTATATGAATGGGAAGGGTTTAGAGGCATATGGGCCAAATGCTAGTAAATGGGACTAGATTAATTTAGAATATCTGGTTAGCATGGATGAGTTGGACTGAAGGGACTGTTTCTGTGCTGTTCATTTCCATGAGTTTGTGACACGAAACAGATCTCAAAAACTCATACCCAGTTATTTAGTTATCATTCACATCACATTTATCTTCATAGGGTTGTACTGAATGAGGAAGACACTTACAATCTTCTTCCGATCCAGATTCACAAAATGTCAGACAGGCTCACTGCTTTGTGTTGCAACTTTATACACTTAGAGAAGATTGTACATATTATGTTTCCTCAGCAACAGGGAGCTTGTTTGGAATTAATAAATAATAGAATGTGTACGGCACAGAAAAAGGCTATATGGCTCATCATGTATTCACTTAATGCCTCTCTACCGCTGTTTTCTCTTAGTTGTGCAAATGTTTTCTCTTCAGAATATGATCCATTTACTTTTAAAAGTTTTGTTCACTTTACCTCCACCACACTGGCAGGCAATGCACTCAAATTCCTAACTACTTGCTGTGTAAACTATTCTCTCCTCCTGTCTCTCTTGTTCCTTTTGCCAATCATTCGAAATCTAAATGCTGTCTCATTCTCAATCCTTATACTAATCACCACTGTTTTTTGCTATCTATTCTGTCGAGACACCACATAATTTTAAATATCTGTATGAAATCTCTCCACAATCTTCTGGTCTCCAAGGAAAACATCCCAGCTTCTCCAGTTTAATTACACAACTGATATTCCTCATCCCTGCTTTCTGTCTTATGCATTCATTAAAATTGTGATATCTA